ATAGTGTGGTAGATATGTGGGGGCGTGTTAGAACGAGCCGTTTTAGGGGGGCGTGGCAGAGTCTTAACTTTGATAAAGAATATCTCTTTGGTTTTGAGACTTTAGTCTTTGCAACTTCAGGGATCTTATCTATGCACAATCAGCTTGTAACACTCCAAAGAGAAAGGAAAACTTGAAATTGCATCATATGACCCCTTTAACAGCTCAACAAGTACAGCTGAAACATGTGACAAATTAATGAATGCCGTGATAAGCCACTTTGGGAGCCATGTGAGCAAACCAAGCAGAATCAATCTGAAACTCTCCAAGATTTTCCCAAAGCTGAGAGTGAAAGTTTTCATACACAACCATTTTTGAGAACACATTTTTGGAGGTTATTATTCAAAATAGCAGAGGCGTCAGACTGTGTATGTGCACTTATAAATAAACACTTTATTAACTTCTAAAGCTACATTTTCATGTCCATTCAATGTTTTATGACCTGACTTTTCTCAGCAAATAGTGATATATCAAATGAATTAATCCACTAATTATATAATTGACTAATTTATTTAACTGACAGCCCTGCTCTGAATATTTCTGCAAAATAAGGAATGTCTCTATGCACGTTGATGCTACCTGTGGTAAATATCTCTCATAAAGGTCAAATTTCATTATCCCTTCAAAACTAACACATCCATTATTATGAATCCAGATAGTTACATAATGAGACCCATTCATCTGTAAATAAGATGCACCGAAGCAACAATCCTCATGATTCACGGACAGCATGCGGAGGGTCACAGAAGCCCTATGCCACATCTCTCATTAAGACCCCATGGGGACGATCATTCTTTAATGCCAAACATGAGTCAGCGGTTCAGCCCATCACTGCCCCATCAGCACACATTCTCTTTATCACAAGTTCTCATATTACAGCATATATGAAAGCAGAGTCTGACAGTAATTATCATAATGAGGGTTTAGTGAGCAAAATGATATGACCATAAATGAACACTACAAGCACAGCAGTAATCATGTTAGTTTTCATTCCCAGTTGTTTCAGGTTACGCATTATGGGCAACATATTGGAACATCTTAAAAATCAGATTACTGGAAGATATTTTATTATTACAAAAAAAGTGTTTTGAAGGAAGTGGGGGTTTTTTTTGTTGGTTTGTTTACTTGCATATTAACGAGTTGGTGTTTTTTCAATGTATGCTTCGGACACGGGTCACGACGAGGCGACCCCTAGAGGACGCAGTTCGAAGTTCCCATGAAAGGGAACTATAACTACTGTATAACATAACTGTTATATAAAAATATATATGACCTATTTAGCCTTTTTAGTTCTTGATTTATGAGCAATTCTGTATGGAAGTCTGTTTCTTATGAAAGTGTCTTTCCGCCACAGAAAAAAAAGGCGGCTTTTTAATCTCAGATTTTGGACTTTTCTTTTTCTTCACAAATAAAATAAATCTGCAATTCTGTTTTGTGAGATTAAAAGTCACAATTATCTTTTTTATTATTTTTCATTCCGTGACAGAAAAAAAAGGAATTACTAGAAGTAAACTCAGAATTCAGAGAAAAAAATTCAGAATTGCAATATGTAAACTCAGAATTATGAGAAAGCAAGAATTTTGATTTTACATCTCTGAATTCTGACTTTCTTTTCAGAATCCCAAGAAACAAAAATCCAATATAAACTCAGAATTGCTGGAAAAATTAAGTGTGAAATAAAATTCACAATAAACTTTTTTATACCATGGCAGAAACGGGCTTCCGTATTTTCTGCTTCAGAGTAAAAAATAAAAAAGTCACTGCAACTATTTATCTCACAAGTGTGATATATTTCTTGGGATTGTCACTACCAGTTTGGACTTCTCCCAGTTGTGTCTCACAATGTGACTTTATAACTCACAATTACAACTTTATACAGTATCTCCCAATGTGAGATTTTAAACTTTTTTAAATTATTATTATATTTTTTAGGTGGCTTCTATAATTATGAAAGAATGAAAACTGTTCTCAACACCAGTGTATTTGATCAGTCTATTAGTCTTGAAAAATCAAGACTTTTTTTTTTTTTTTTAAACATAACAGTAAAAGGTCAAATTCCTATCTAAAAGTTTACGTATAAAAAACCTTTGCACTGTAATGTCAAATGTTTCTCCAAACTCTGTAATATATCTAACTATCTTTGTGCTTTTGAGGCACAACTGAACTGTCAATCATTGTACTTCCTTTCTTAGAGCAATTGTTTCCAACTGAGACTCCACTATAGTGATGACTGCATTCGTTAGGCTAAGTTACCCAATATAATAATTATAAAAAGAAAAAACTCAGTAAAACAATGGTTCAAGAATCGAGATTATAACATCTTCAGCATAAACACACTGTTTTGTTTAAAATGACTATTTAGTATGGAGGATGCTGTCTAGAGTGGTGACTAATATCTGTGGAATACCCTATGAAAAAAGTGTTACTAAACCCCCGACTTAATCAGACAAGCCCCATGTCCTGCTTCAGGGCTCTTCACAAAAACACACACTCTCCTAAACAACCAAGGCAGGACAGGGGCTTGGAAAGAAACACACACCAGATTATACACAACAACACACACACACGCTCACAGTTGCATGCACTGAGCTTTTCCACCCCGGTGCACTTTAACTCTGTGAATAATTCAGCTGCACTAAAATAAAACATGCCTCATCACACAGACAGCAGCAGCAGATACACACCAACACAGACAAACACACACAGACCTAGTCTAACTCTCAGAATACTTTACTAGGGATACAAATTATAACACAGTATTCAATATTAGCACTAACACACATACACACATAAACACTTCCCAAGTTAAATACAGTTACGCTCTTCTTTTTGACAGGGCGGTGCTTAACCAGTGTATCAGTCTTTGAGTATAGCATAAATATCCACCAACTAAATTATTAAAAGCTACTCCTTCTGCAGCTAAGCTCCACTGAATCCAACAACTTACATATATATACATATACACATATTCACTAGCTATGGCCCAACAGTTACCCTAGTGCCGCATTTCAGTGTGTGAGAGAGTCAAATCCACTTCATGCTACACCATTTCAGTTTGCATTAGTTTAAGAATCTGAGACTGTGTGGGGGTATAAGTATATCACACTTTTTCTGGAATCCAAGAACATGTTTCGCAATTCCTACAGAGACTGATACCCCATAATTACACATTGAGCAGATGGCTTGTTCACTTATTCTTTTCAACATATTGGGATTATGTCCAAATTATACAAAACCTGGTTCAGGTATAACTTCTATTTATTGGGCAGAGCATGTTTTTTCAAGCCTTTTTGAGGTTTTAATGTGTTAATACTTTAAAACTACACTACATTTATAAAAAATATAATATACTTATTCATCAAGAATGCATTAAATTAAATTAAAATAAATGCTGTTTTTTCTTCTTTTTTACTTTACAAAGAATGTTGAAAAAATGTATCACAGTTTTCACATTGATAATAATAAGAAGAAGAAATGCTTATTGAGCACCAAATCAGCTTATTATAATGATTTCTGAAGGATCATATGACAAAGTAGATTGAAGTAATGG